GCACGATTTTGACATCCATTTACCGACTGTTGTGTCAAAGCTACCTTCCTTGCCCACCCTGGCGTTAAAGTCGCCAAGCACGATTTTGACATCCAAACGCTCATAGAAGGCGTTTTTGGTCACATCGTTCCACTCTTCCATCGGCGCGTGGGCGCAAATCAGCGATATGTTGAAGAATTTCGCCTTGATGCGAAATCATCATCATTCATCCACCGTACAGTACTCGGCGATGGAGTCTCTCTCCCATCACGAATCCCACACCGAATTTGCTCTCCTTTATATGGCCACTGTAGTAAATGCCAGAAGGACTTACTCGCGTGTCGGTCCATCGCACTTCTCGGAATGCGGTGATGTCAGCCTTTACTCTTACGAAGACATCAATCAGCTGTGCAGCGCTACCTTCCCAGTTAAGGGACCGAACATTCCAGGTGCATGCCCTTAAATCATAATCCTCAATGTGTTTGCAGTGGTCGTTATCAAAAGAGAGGTCCGAGGCTGTTTTCTTACTTTATATTAAGGGACTTTTTTACGTGACAGGTAATAACCCAGGGGACGGTTGTTTCGACTTCTTACTTTACCTCAATTTGAAACGGTTGTTTTTTGGCTACCCAGCTTGCTTGTTCTAAGACCAAAAGTCGTGAGCTGCTTCAGCCATATGTAAAAAAAAAACGTTTCTGGTCATTCCCAAGTGAATGGCGCTCAGAGAACTTTCCTGACTTGCGTTAACTTGTACACATGACTCCATCCTCCACTTGGGTATATAACAAATGATATTATAGTATGTGGTGTTTTAGCCTTGATACGGCAAAAACAGGACATTCGAGTAGAAAGTGCTGATATGAGTCTATCTCATTTTCTGCTCTGGTAAAATGTTCAATCTTACTGCTTGAATTCCGATCGAACACTGTCCAATTAGAACTCCAGGAACCATTGAAAAGTGAACTTTGTTGAGGGCTCCCTAGAACTCTATGATTCTTAATGATAAGGGTCGATGTTACCAAAGACACTGTGCTCCCCTAAAAAACGTGAAACATGAAATTAAGGTAATATTTTACACAACATTTTAGGTGAAAAAAATTGCAAAAAATCAATGCAAAAAATGCTTTGATTAGTTTAATTTACGGTCCTCAGAACTAAAAAATAATAACGAGAACAACATGCATCACATACAAACGTCGCTGCAAAAAATCGCGCTCAACCTCCAGCAGCTGCTCAATGCGCTACACAGCACCATCGTAACCACACAGGATACATGCGAACGCGTCGAGTTTTACGACTTTGCACTGACCTCGCCAGAACAGGAAATTTGTGGACTAGCAGATGCACCACGCTGGAGGCGACTACATGCACTCTACACACACTATTATACACTCCTTCTACACCATATGTGGCCTACGCTGCTGCTAGCGCTGCAGCATTGTCAAGACATCTATCACATCACACTGGACTATGGCATCGATTATGGCACGCGCTTGGCGCATTGGACCACACTACTCGCCAACGATCAAGTATTCATGTTCGCCATCAAAGTTTGTTTGTTATTGCTCTTCCTTTTTCTCATGCATTGGATAAAATCGGCCAAAGCGCCAGCAGCTCCAACGGCCACAAAAACAATTGTGGGTACGACGGGAGCAGTTATGACGAATTTACCGCTTGTAATGGCGGAAAATCGCATTGAAGAGCTGGCACCAGATGTCAAAGTGAGTAGAGCTTCATTCTCAATCGACACGCCCACAACGCCGACAACTTGTATAACACCCGCTGTGACACGTGATTTAGTTTGTGATTTCAATTTTGTGTCGCCGTCAGAGTTGCGTGCTGCGCTTGAGGCTGCAAACCAGCGCATGCTTGAGATTGAGGAAAAGCGTCGCCGCAAACGCATAACTAAGAAACGGAAATGCGTTTCGGCGGGTCCCATTTTGATTGCGATACGTTCGAAAAAGACACACAAGCAGAAAAAGGCGCAGGAAAAGCTGGAGCTGAAGCAACAAAAATTAATACATAAGCAACAACTAGAGCTCTTGACGCCGCCAAATACATCGCCAGCACGTGCCAGTTATTTGATGGCGAATGAAGATGAGAACTTTTTGCCCGTGCGCATGGAACCGTTGACTATTGGTGGCGCTGCCTATGAAATCGAGGTGGATGCGGAAACGGAAGCGGAAATTATTGCTCTGATGTGTGTGTGTGTTCGATTTTGTGAGACTGCTTTTAAGTTATTGCCTATGTACATATTTGCGAGTAGTGCTTGGTCCATACTTTTATACACTAAACGTTTTAAGATGTCTTCATTGGAAGATAACAGTTGTTTGTTTCTAAGTTTCTTCGCCATGGGAGTTTTAGACCATTAAATAAGTCTGAACAGTCGCTGAACCGTTTTCCAAATACAGATCAGGGCAAAATAAATATGTAGAGAGGTTTTTTGATAGCTTCCAAACGATGTTAGAAACGCCTCGAGCTTTTTCTAACAAGCAAACGCATCTAGATATCGTCCGCAGACGAACTAAATCCCTATTTATTTAATCCTGCGTATACCAAGTGATAGCTTCTGGCGGTCAGGTTGCAGAATTAATTCTATTATAAGAGCTTTTTGCGAAAAGCATGGCCTTCAAGATAGACAAAGATATTTGCCGCTATTCTTCTTCTTTATTGGCGTAGACACCGCTAATACGGTGATAGCCGAGATTGGCGGCAATTGGATATTTTAAGTGTAACCTGGTCCTTCTCCACCTGGTATTTCTAATGGAGCTGTGGTCTTCCTCTGCTTCCCTCGGCAGGTACTGCGTCGAAGACTTTCAGAGCTGGAGTGTTTTCATTCATTCGGACAATATGACCAGCCAGCCTAGCTGCTGTCTCTTGCTGAACTATGTCAATGTCGTCGTATAACTCGTACAGCTCATCGTTCAATCGAATGCGATATTCGACGTTACCAATGCGTAAAAGACCATAAATCTTCCGCAGTACCTTCCTTATTGTCCATGCCTCTGTACCACAGAGCAGGACGGGAATAATGATTGAGTTATAGAAGTTGGTCTTTGTTCGTTGAGAGAGGACTTTTACTCTCAATTGCCTATTATTATTATTATTTCGTGTTGAATTTCGAGGCTGGCGTTGGTGTTAATGTTGGTTCCAAGATAGATGAAGTTATCTAAGACTTTGAAGTGACGTGGGAGCCAAGTCGGGAGATATTTTGTTTAGCCGTCGTTCACTACCAGGCTCATTTGCTTCGCTTCCTTATACAGTCGGGAGAAAGCAGAGATATGGCCCAGTCAGATCATTCGACTTAATTATTATAATCTATATTATTATTATTATTTCTTTGGGGGTATGTTCAATCAAAGCTTTAAACCCATCAACCAGCAAAGCACGAGGAGCTCGAAGGCAATAATTTGCGCACATAGCCGAAATGGTGCACCAAGTTAACGAAAATTGGTGTAAACAGGTGGTCTTCGTCGCTCAAAAGTTTCGTTGTATTGCGCTTTAACTCACAGAACTGGTCATGAGAGCCCTATTTGGGATTGACAGAACTGGTTCAATACTTCTATTTTGTATCCAGGCACTATTCCGTAGCTTTAAGAACAGCTTTGTATTGCAATATTTGAATCCTAACTACAGCAATTCAGTTATTCAATTAATTAATCTACCAAACTTTTAAACATTCGCAGTTCCGAACCTCGTGGCACAATGAGCACCACCGACGATGTCTTTCCCGATTCGCCGGATAGCAGTTTATACGGTTCAGAAGAGGAGCAAGAGGATCCATTACAGTATTGTCGTGGTGGTTATCATCCAGTTATAATTGGCGATATATTTGACAATCGTTTTCGTGTTGTACGCAAACTTGGTTGGGGACATTTCTCTACGGTTTGGCTATGCAGAGATCTCAAGTAAGTTTCAATTTATTTTTTATGCTTTTTAATATTTCACTTCGTATACTTTATACCAACTGCAGGGATGAGAAATACGTCGCACTGAAGGTAGTAAAGAGTGCTCCGCATTATATCGAAACGGCCGCCGATGAGATACGTCTACTCGAAGCCGTACGCGATGCAGATCCGTTAGATATGCGACGAGAGCGCATCGTACGACTGCTAAACCATTTTACGATACGTGGCGTTAATGGCAAACATTATTGTTTGGTTTTTGAAGCGCTCGGTTGCAGTTTATATAAGTTAATTGTAAAGAATAACTATCAGGGTTTGGCCATAAGTCAAGTGCGCAACATTATCAAACAAGTATTGGAGGGTCTGGATTATTTGCACACAAAATGTAGTATTATACATACGGATATTAAGCCTGAGAACATATTATTAGTGATCGATAATGAGTCAGTGGTGAATCAGCAAATTGACGATGAAATCGCTAGTTTACGCGTGAAGGGTGCGGACTTTCCGGATTCATATAGTAAGTGTCGTTTCACTAATATTGATTATTACATATATCTGCAACAGCTATATTAAGTTTGCCACAAAGTTTGTAATAACCAAAAAACGCCGAAGACTGTATAAATAATTACCATAACGAGCTGAGTTGATTTAGCTATGCATGTTCGTCTGCCTGACTGTATATGCGAGAACTAGTCCCTTAGTTTTTGAGATATCCCTCTGCAATTGTGCACATGTTCTTTCCTCGCCAAGAAGCTGACATTTTGTCGAAAATATCGATATCGGACCACTGTGGTATGAAGCTGTCAAACAAACTTAGCGATCAAAATCAAGTTTTTGTATGGAAAATGTTTTTTTTTTTGCAATTGGTCGATTAAAATCCAGTTCGTGTATGGAAACCTTTTCATTTGTGAGGGGTATTGTAGCTTGGGTGCAATTAAAGCTAACATTTTATGTTGTTTTATTTTTATTAACTTTTAGTTTTCACACTCTTTACAGTTAGTTCCATTGAAAAGCAAGCGAAGAGTCGCAGTAAATGGTCAATGACCGATATGAATATTTCAACAACAAACAGCACGGGTACGGGCAATAATTCCTCCGCGTCATCCACGCCGTTGCCAACAACTACCGTTGCAACTGCAGCAATGACAGCTGCGGCGATAACGGCACTTAGCAAGGATGACAGCAATGCAACATTTAATACGAATACGACTGCATCATCGTTGGCGTCTAAATATTCAGCCACTTTGTTAGGTGAAAATGATGGTGTAGGTGGCGGACGCGCTGGCACAGAGAGCCCTTCAATAGGCGGTGGTACACCTTATGCGACAACCGGCAATATAAATAATCGCTATCGAGCCGAGAAGAAAATCACTGCCAAGGTAAGTTGTACAAGTTGTTTACAATTTTAAGTAATTTAGTACGGGTTTAAGTAACACGAATTGAAGATCAAGATATATACACTTATATATACACAATGAGCAATAGATAACATATTTGTTATTACTGCATGTTTAATAACGCTTATGAAATGATAAAAACAATCATACAGCAATAATCACACATTCCCGGCAACTTTTTTTTAAATTTTCGATGAGTTTTTTTTTTATAATATTTTTATGTTATAATTACTCATTATTGCACCAGCAGCAGCTATCAAAATCAATTTCATTTCCCTACACGCAATAGTGTCATAACATTTTGGCTTCAACCGGAAACGGTACACACCCTATTATGTATATCAACGCACTAGCTTTTAATAACGCCCTTTCACAATAATTGATTTAAATACATACATATGTACATATGCTAAGTAGTTATTTGCCACTCATCTAATAATATGCGCCCAATATCATTCGCCACCACCCACCATCATCATCAGCACTCTCACAACCGCAATCACCTGCAATCGTTTGTGTCCAATTCGTTTGTTCCTTTTTTTCTTTTCGTTTTTCATAAATATTTTTGCAGTCGATCGATGGTGACGGCAATATTGGTGACATGATAAGCACAACATCAACAACTACTACTACTACTACAACAACAACAACTACCACCGAAGCAATCAATGGCATCGAAATATTAAGTTTATTAAGTACAAAAAGCGAAAATATCGACGTTAATAATGCGTTGTCTCAAATTACTCTAAACACCCAAGCACAAGCACCACACAATGAACAACAACTACAACAGCAAAAACAACAGATACTACCATCACTCACGTCACAAGCACCATCACTAGCTTTACCAACACAAGCACAATCAYTAATACAACAACAACAACAACAAGCAACATCACAAAATAACAACGAAGATGTTAAAAATAGCAAAAATGCCGCTACCGAAAAGGTAACTCTGCTCTCAAATTGTACACGTATGTATGTATGTATTAATGTGTTTACATACATACCTTTGATAAATTGTACTTATGCTGTGCATTTATAGTTTTGTGCTGACCAAAACCAAATAATAATTCTTTAACTGTATAAGCACTTAAATCCATAGTTTGCTAAAGTATCTAAATACAACATTCCTAAGTAATTGTATATGTTTGTGCTGCAACGTACCTTAACCTTCCACTTTGTAGTACGCTACTTTTATTGAGTCAGTTGTCTATTAGCTTAACGGAAATGCATTGTTCAAGTTTCCTTATATATGTCACCATGTTAATTTGGTTCCTTAATAGTATATCAGTGAATTTATACTTAGTGACTTCTGCTACGTTTGTATTCATAAGCTCCTATTATATTTGTTTGTTTTCGTAAAAAATACTTTAAATTCCTTTATTAATTAAGTATAATACCTTTTTAATAAAAAAAATTAAATTTTTTATTTCACTCAACTGACATTTAAATAACTAGTGACAGTTTACTGTTATCGATAATTGCCCTCAGCTGCCATAAGGATAGCAAATCCTAATGTAGCGTTCACAAAAAGTGTGATTTACTTCAATAACAATTATGCTTAAATTCAAGTCATTTACGTTAGATGATTTTGCAGCTTTGGCTTTTGTATAGGATTTTATTTATTATTAAAAATAAAGAGTAAGATATTATCATATACAAATTAAAACAATCAAATGATTAGAAAAATGCCGCAGATAAACAATATACTGGTGAAAAATTTTAAATAATTTATTAAAAAAGCATACTAATCTCCAAAGAATTTTTTTTTAATATTCAAATGGTTATTGGCATGAATATTGGTTGGTCTTTTTATTTATTTTGTTTTATCTTTTAAATGGTTTATAGGTTAAAAAATATTATTTAAAGTGAAATAGTAGGATTTCGATAATATATATATTATATATATATATAATATACCAATAAACTTTTTTAAGATCTTAAACTTTAGAGTAATTAGTTAGAAAACATTTAAACCAAATATTTGTTGTTTAAGTATTTAAAATGCTTATCATTTATCCAGCAAAATTATGTTATTTAATTCCTTATTAAAATTTATCCTTCTATCTTTTAATAAGAAAACATTTTAATTTTTAAAAAGTTATCAAGCAAAGAAAGCAAGCAATTTTTCAATAAACGATAACGATTCTATAAGTAGTATTGCGAGTAGAGTTGCTTTTATCTTTACATTGCATAAAAATAACTATCGCTCTTACTTTTTTAACATATTTTCCACGTTAATATAAATCATCGTCAATAAAAAACGTAAAAAAATTACACAAAGTGGTTAAGGCAGTTATTGTACTTGTTTTAAATAAAACATCAATCTAATTACACAAGTTTTTTTTTGTACGAAAACTTCATAATTTTTAGTACACATTTATGGAACTTTTTATGTTACATAAATATGTTTGACATAAATACGTGCACGTATATCATAGAAAAATACAATACTTTGTAGAAACATGCTATTACTTTTTAAACATTAATTGACACTCGTCAATTCTTGCAGTATTTATACAAAAAAAAAAAAAAATATATGTTATTATATATTCATAAGTGTTTGTAACGTTGGAAAGTTTTGCGTTTTGCGAACATTTAAAAGACATTTTTATATGAAATATTATATTGATTAGTATTATTTGAAATAGTTTTAAGCTTTTCTGGTTTGCAATTGCGCATACATACTTATGAGCATTTTTAGTTTAAGAACTTGCCTAGCACTACTCCTCATGACATTTCCAAAACTAAATTTACTCCTGTCATAAAAATCCTTGTAAACGCTGACACAAGCTCATTGTCAAAATAATGTCGACTAAAATGTTGAGTTTAACTTGCTAAACGCGTCTCCTTTATTTAAGGGTATACATATTTGAGAGAGCAGTTGGCAGTTTTAACAATGGTCATGTGTCATTAACCAACGACATAGATTTTTGAAACATTTATTAAATAGTTACGAGCAGTTTTGTGGTCTATGTATTTGCGCATATATTTTTTTACATATTCATATCATTGTATATAATTTAATTATTTTTTTTTTACTGCACAGTTCGCTATTATTTCTTTACATACTTTTACTCAAGTATTTATTATACGTTTGCTATAATTTTAATATTATAAAGTAGAACCTATTTAACTTATTACTTTTTAATTCCTAGACCCAGTCCTATACAAATGCCATACAAGCGTTGATCAACAACACCAATGTACGCGTTAAAATTGCTGATTTGGGCAATGCCTGCTATGACGTAAGTTCTGCAGCTTTACTAATATATTTTTATACACTTGAATGATTTTGCTACAGAGTATAATAGTTTTGTTTACCTAAAGGTTGTACGAATCGCCTACAACTAAGCGAGATAGATATAGGGTTTTTATATATAAAAATGATCAGCATGACGAGAAACGTTAAAATTCGCGTGAATGGCTACATATGCGTCCGTCCTCTCGTGCAAGCTGAACCTGTAATAAGACCACTGCCACGTACAATCTCCGAAGAAATTGTTCAGATCAGACAACTACAATATGTAGCTGTCATACAAACCGACAAGACATTTTCAGTCATTTGAAATTTGGCATAGACCAGTATAGCATATAACTGCCAAACAAACTCTCACATCAATATCAATAGAAAGATCTTTATATTATATTTATACCCTTTAACGCTATACGAAATTCAGTTGTGAAGGATATTATACCTTTCTTGTTTTTATTATTATTAATAACATAAAAATTAATAAAAATTGTATTTAATTCCTTTTACGCAGTATCATCATTTCACTGATGATATACAAACGCGACAATATCGCTCCATAGAGGTATTGCTTGGCGCACCGTACACTTTCTCCGCTGACATTTGGAGTACAGCTTGTCTTGCCTTCGAACTGGCGACCGGTGATTATCTCTTTGATCCGCATATGGGCGAGACTTACTCACGCGATGAAGATCATTTGGCGCACATAATTGAATTACTAGGCGTCATACCGCCTTCCGTGATATTTCGCGGCAGACATGGACTTAAATTCTTCACTAGTTATGGTAAATTAAAAACTACAATATGCAATTCATATTCAATGATTTAATTTCGTTTGTTTTTCTGTGCAACTTGTAGGCAGCTTGCGTAACATTACGAAATTGAAACCGTGGAGTCTATTGAACGTACTCATCGAAAAATATGATTGGGATCCCATAGAGGCTAAAAAATTCTCTGATTTTTTACTACCGATGCTCGAATACAATCCCGTAATACGCGCCTCAGCGGCCGAATGCCTAAATCATCCATGGCTGGAGCAGGAGGAATTCGTTTGAAATGTGACCCTACTCATTTCACTAGTTGACTGATTACCTAGCTGAAACGAACGCAAATACGCACACAGTAGTTGTTGACGGCAGCAGAGAGCGCAAACTAACTTTGGCGTTAGCCAATTTAGCTGCAGACATGAACGAGAGAGGCTCACACTTTCTCACATTATTATTTAAATGTTAAGACTTTGCATACAAAAAAAAAAAAAAAAATATATATATATACAAAAAACAAAAGCAAAAATACAAATAAACTAAAATAAAATAATATGCGATAGACATTAATAAGATTTTTTAATATTTAATGAAGAGTGGAAATTAAATTAAATTAAATAAAGTTAAAAGCGTAGCATGACAAGTGAAAATTTGTAATAATTATTATATTGTCGGCAAAAAATAAAATATACCTTTGAGTAAAAAAAAACTAAGCATTGGTAACTAAATTAGTGGAAACTTAAAATATGTTTGTTAAAGTAAGTTTTCTATGGGAAAATAAATGAAATTTAAAACTCCAAAGTAGCATTAATTCTGAAATATGTATTAAAAGGCAACATTTTAAATAAGAGACAATTACAAAACTATAATAATAAAAAATAAAAATAAATTGTAGGATACCCTAACGACTTACCGACCCTCATATTTGCATATATATACATCAACACGTATACATTTATTAAAAATAACATATACTCTAATGAATTTTCGAATCCACATATGCCTAACTGACTGACTTATTTTTCATAAACAATTTAATAAACTAAAAACTTAACGGCAACAGCGTAATATAATTGATAAAATATTAAAATAAACAAAAAAACAATTATAAAGCATGGAGAAGTACATACGTTTTCAAAAAAGTTTTTCATAAGCAAATTGTGAGTACATAAAAAGTGAGAAATAAAATTTTTAGATCAATAAAAGTGGGACTTGTCTCAATTTGCTAAATAGTATTTGATATGATCACCAAAAGTGGTAATAATTTTATAACACTAGCTGAGCAAAGTTTGGCGGCTCTCAAAATTGAACGCTAAATTATATACATACATACATATATGTATGTATATTAAACCATTAATCAATTGTTTAGTCAACACTAAAGATATGTTCAAACCAAAACTTATGCGCCTCAAATCAAAATTAGTCTACACACTAAATACGACTTGTTACTATCGTTGCTACAATCAGACTACACAATTTTTTACTGTCAATAGCAGCTGTGTTGGACCTATTTTTTGGTACTTTTTGGTAAACGTGCCAATGGGTGGCGCTCAATTTCATATAGTTTAAGTTTTCATACTACTTCGCGGTGAAGAGTTTATGCTAATTGAGTAGATATGAAACTTAATGCAATCCACAGCGCTAATCACGTGATTAAGCTTTGGTTTGAGCATGTTACAACAAACTTAAGGCAAAAATAGCGTTAATATTAAAATAATGAAATGAAATTCTCTCAAATATGTATATGTAACTGGCAAAATCACATGCATACTTTTTCATACCTAACAGCGGCATATTGCAGTGAGTTGTGTCGATCATGCGCAAAATTTGATTGAACAAATAAAATATAAAGAAAATATAATTAATAAAAATATTATTTGTAAATTAATGTACACATACTTTAAGGGAAGTGAAGTGCATAACTAACTTTATGTTTTTCGTACAACTTTATAGTGCATAAAAAATATAGTACCACATAGCCATACACATAATCTCGGCAACAAATAAATTTTACAGAATTTAAACAAAAGCGATAAAAATTCTTCATTTAATTCATAACAATCCAAGTCTTAACGCTTTTATTTACGCTTATTTAATTTTCAACACAACCTCTTGTGTGCATACTTCTGTTTTCAAAAACGTATGTGCAGTGCACACTCCGCATAACAAACGAATTCGGCAACACTTCGCTAACGTACAAAACGTGCACGATGTGATTGCCGACCATCCGCCGGAAAGTTTGCATAGTTGTCATTGTATGTGATTCGTTGAAGTGCTGCTCTTTGAAATCGTTATTAAAACAGTGCTAATTTTTTATTAACAATTGTTACTTTGTGTTGCTAATTAGTTAGTTTATTGTAATGTTATTAAACGTTATTTATATAATATATGTATATCAGTTAAAATAAATGTACGTTGTACATTCAGCATGCCCACATGGTGGTCGTTGTATGAAAAAGCGACGTGTAAAGTACTGTAATTCGTGGAAAATTTGTTTATGCAATGCTGCAAGCATTTAAAATAACATTTTAATGGCATTAAGTGATATAAGTATATGTAAATATTAAGCAAGCGAACATAATATTGCTAGTTTACCAAGAATGTGCTCAAAATGATGGGGTTTCGTTAGCTTATTTTTTATAATTTGTACACAGATATTTTTCAATTGATTAAATTAGAAAAGTGCAAATTTCAAAAATTCTACATTAAAACATTATTTTTTGTTTTTATTTACATATATTTCATAATATCTTTTTTTTTTTTTTGTTCTTCATTTTATTAAAGAAAATAGTATTAACTTAAATCAAATCTATGTCCAACTAGCTGACTAACTTTTCAATAATAGTGTAAAATATGCAATTTGATTGCCAAAAGTTCAATATTTGCCCTTACTTAATGAAAGTATGAATATATGAAATAGAATTTCAAAAGTTCTGTGCTCATTCCAAAATTATAATTTTAATATCGAAATACACTTAAATAATTTAAATAAAATAATAAAAACTTTTATTTTATTAAGTATAAAAAAAAAGTTGATGAATGCTATTTTCAATTAAATTGAATAAAAATAGCTTTATAATAAAAACCGATGAATTTTTAAATAGATAATATGTCAAAAACATAATATTGATTAACGAAAATGTGAGTGGAGCGCTTCTTGTTATGCAAGCTTGTTATTATTCAAACCATAAGTATTTCAGGAAACTAAATTATGTAAAGAATAAGTTTGTATTAAAATTCCTTTTTTATGTTTTCAATATAGTGTTTTTGTAAAAACAGATTTTGGGTTTTTTTTTTAAGTTCTATGGAAATTAAATTTTTACTTTTATATTCTTTTGCTAAAATCTAAAATGTACATTATTTTTTTTAAAGTATGTTTGCTTACCACTCCGCACATATATTTTACTTCATCCCATACGAAAAGATTTATATTATTTCCCATAATTCGTATATACATATGCATATTTTTATGGAACAGGTGTTGATATACTTATTCCAGGTTAATTATAAACATAGCAAATACATATTTGCAAACGCAATCATACGGTACATACTTAAGTGCAGCAGATAAATACACCTATACATACATACATATTATCATAATACGAGATTTCATTAAGCATCTTAATAAAAATTTGCCAACAGCAACAAACAGTGTACCCGTAGTGGAATTGAATTCTAAATTAACAATGAAAATACCTACACAAATAAACAATGAAACATTTAAGAATAACAAGAAATATTTTAATAAGAATTTATTAATAAATTTGCGCATTAAATGTAAACAGGAGTATGCAAACAGTCTGAAAAATAAAAATTTCAGTTAATAACACAAGATCACGTTTTAGAAGTATAATTTGGTAAATATGTAAGCAAATTAATATTGTAAATTAATTGAACAAAAGTAATATAAAGAAAATGGTCAGAAAAGTATTCACTTGTTGAAAAAAAAATACAAAACTTTTACAGTTAATGAAATAAAAGCAGAGATAATGAAGAAACTATGGAATAATACAACATATGCATTACTAAACGCATCAATAAAATTTAATATTTAACTTTTACAATAATATATTAGTGTTTTACAAAATTTCGAAGTTGGTAACGGTTAACGGTATATACAATTTTCACTTTAACTTACAGCAAGAGGTTAATAATGTGCGCGGGGTCTGTCTGGCAGCTGACGCTCTACTCATAATTGCTTAATTACCCACGCTTTTGCTTGAGAAATGCGAAGAAGCTGTGAAAAACAGAACATGGTAAAAGAGAATCAGACAGTTTGCAAAATGCTGCTAATTTCTAATAAACTGATCGAAAAATTCGCCGAATGCAACATAGAATCGGTTAACAGCGCTTTCTAAACATATCGAAAATATTTAGAAAATACTAAATCCGAACATTTCAGCTCATTCACTTGCGAGCAATGCACGAGTACACAACACTTGCTAGCGTAAATATTTGATTCGTGTGAAAAAGTCCGACGACAAACAAAAATAGATAGCATTTCAAAAATTTTAAATACCAAAACAATTAAAAAACGCAAACTCAAATTCAACATCAAAATCGGACTTCAAGAGCGAATCATTGCTAAAAGTGCTGAGTGTATGAAAAAAGTCGAATTTCGTTAATTAACCTTGTGACAAGTTTTTGCTGTTAAATTTTTATAATTTTCTACGCGTTCGTGCCGTTATAGCGCATATGCGAACGCCGCCGCAGTGGAGCTGCAAAGAGAGAAAACCCTAGAATTTCTACGAGTGCTAACCTTCGTCCTGCTATTCCTTATCATATCACTATACCTATACCGTTACGCATTCTAAAATCGTGTCTAGATTTAGGATTAAATAAATAAAATTGACAACCAATTTTCACCTGCCTTCCTAAAAGCGGTAAGTTTGTGTGGAATTTTCGTGAAAATGCAAAATCCTATTAATACTTATGCAATTCCCACATTCTTGATGCATAATTTGGTGCAACTAAATTTGGTACATTCACATGCAAATCTTGTTTGCCTGTGCACTCGTCAATGCTGCCGCCGACGCCAACAAAACTGTCGCCACACACCCGTATGTATGTTGTCAATCGAACGCGCACACGCTATAATTAAAGCAGCTAACACAGCTAGTACCACAACAACAACACGAACAGGTATAGCACTGCAACAAGAGTTTTTACAATATGGCTAAAGCGCCTGCTGTCGGCATTGATCTTGGCACGACATATTCGTGCGTCGGTGTGTTTCAACATGGCAAAGTGGACATTATCGCCAATGACCAGGGCAATCGGGTGACTCCATCTTATGTGGCCTTCACTGATACGGAGCGTCTAATTGGCGATGCGGCCAAAAATCAAGTTGCCATGAACCCGAACAATACTATCTTTGGTGAGTTTGAAGCAAGCAAAAAAAAAAATAAAAAAATAAACTACAACAACAATTTAACACTAATAATTCTATCGTAAGGCATTATCCACCCACTATCATGGCATCTAAGTCATAATAAATCATGCACGC